TAAATATTTATTTAAAAATGTCGAAGTTAATATTTTTTATCGATAAGTAGCTTTTATAATTATAAGTTTTTTATTACTTTTAAATAATTTGAAATGATTTTTTTACTTATAAATAACTTTTTACATTCTAGATAGTGTAATCTTTTTATTAATAATTAATTTAAAAAACTAAATATATCTAAATATTTATACTTAAAAAAATTTAAATTAATATTTTTTTACTTATAAGTCATTTTTGTAATTATAAGTAAAGGAGGGATTAATTTTTTTTTTACCTATAAGTAGCTTTTACAATTATAAGTTATTATTATTATTTTTAAATAACTTGATGTGCTTTAACTTTTTACATTGTAGATATTGTAATCTTTTTATTAATATTTAATTTAAAACTAAAAATAAAAAACTCTTAAAAAATGGGATTGGGATCACTATTCATTCTTGTTATTAAATTTTCACACTTGCTTGGATTATACTATTCATTAATTGGTTCACAAAATATCCCTTAAAAATGGGTTTTGCTCTCTCTCGCTTTCATTTCTCCATGCGGCCATGCCAAAGAAAATCCTACCACACTGATTTTCAACATCTGAGATCTTGAAACTCAGTGGGTTGAAGGAGGGATCTTGAGAAGGAAACTGCAGTATGAAGTGTATAAATAGACAAGACAATCTAATCAAAGACGGGTAAACAACTTCTTCTACGGGAGTTTCTCAATTTATTATTTTATCTTTTTTCCTCAACTTTTTCTGTAACCCTTTCTTTATTTGTAATTTTTTATTTTGGTAGAGTGGGAGTTTAATTCAAATTCTTTAAAAAATTCAAATCCCCAACCAAAATAGTTTTACTTACAGTAAAAAAGAAGAAATAGAAACCCCAAAAAATTAAAATGATTGTATTAGAAAAGAACAACATAATAGTGTCATTGGTAAATCAAGTTTGTTGTCGGAGCTGCTAGGGAGATAATATAGAGATTGGAGGTAAGTGAGGAACAATGGCCACAGCGCCAAAACGTGGTTACATGCAGGCGCGTTCGCAAGAAGTGGAGGACAGTTACAAAAGACGTGGTCAGAGGTGTCAATTAATCCACAGGCTACCAAAATCAATTTCCCTTCTTTCCTTAGAAAAAAGTTGAATCTTTGTGTTTATGGTTTATTTTGAAGTACTTTATGATTTGGAAATTTGGTGGATTTTGATATTAGCGATCTAAGTTTGGTATTGGAATTGTTGTTCTTTTAATAACTATGTAGACTCATGGCATTCGATTTGGAATAGAAATGACATTTTCAAATTTGAAATGGTTGTTTATGAATGAAAATTGTCATGTTGCCAATGGCTTTTGAGAAATAGCTGTAATTCATTAGGATTTTCTATTGACCCGATTTTACTCCATTTTATTTAATTGATGATTCTACCTTGTGTAATTTCATTAGACTTAGGCTAAGTTTCTTGGAATAAAATGATGCATATGCTTGTACATGCCAATAACGTTCATTTGGAAATATTCATTAGCAAAAATTGCTGGAGTGTTCTGCAGTAGTCGATTAACTGAAAGTGTTAGATATGCGATTTGGCCAAAAAAGATTTGGTGGTCATTGATTGTTTTTTAGTTTTCTATGTTTTTTGCATTCAGCGTGTTTCATTATTGTTTAAAAACCTTATCTATGCCGAACTAAGAACTTTAGAAATTATGCTAGCTGATGCTCTAACTTTCTTTTATTTTGCAGCCAAGGCCACGCGAGTGTCCATATCAGTGTCTTATAAAGCGTGACCAGAATAATGCAACATTTTACCTCTGTCTTGCTCTTTCACCATATAAGTAAACCTTTGTTGAAAGTTTTTAAGATAACTTATCAATCACAATTTGCTTGTGTACCAAATAATATTTAATCATTTTCTATCTGGTGAATTGACTAAGTAAAACCTTGAAGTTTAACATCTATAGTTAGGAGGATCCTTAAAAATCTATTGAGTTATTAGTCTTAATATCTCATGAGTAGAGACATCATGTTTGATGTTTGCTAAGTATATTGACTTGTTTTGTTAATTTTTCTTCATTTCTTGCGCCGCAATGACTATTGTGAATGTCATATAGCAAACCTTAGTGATTATTTCAAATGCTATGACAAATATTTATGCTACTTCAAATATTGTAGCCCAACTAACATTTTAAAAGAGTCCTTCATAGTTTTTTTTTTTTTTTTAAACTTATCTTATTAACTTTTGTCACGTAGCTTCGATGTTTGGCTAGCATTGAAACTGGAGCCTTTGTGTCCAGAGAAAAAGTCGACGTGGAAGAAAGAATTGAATTCCATACTATAAATGCTCGTGGTTTGATGTTTATACATTTAATTTATAAATAGCTAGACAGTTACATACTATCAATTTTAATTATACTGCAACCTCTATATGTCAATAGAGTATTATAAATGATTCTTTTATCCCCTATCAATGCAAATGATGAAGGCAACATACTATGACCCAACATATTTAACCCACTAATATTACGTTGAAAATAATCCAACCCGTGCATTGCACGAGCAAATACTAGTATATATATAATAGAGAATCTGCTTAGGACTTAAGAGTGTGTTTCTTCAAGGGTATTTTAAAAAATGTCCAATTTCATGGGTTTCAATTAAAAAATGTCCACTTCTTAAATTTGGTACTAAACAGTCTATTATGCCCTTAATGAAAAAATGAAGCAATTAATTTTTTTCCAATTATTCGCGGATTTCGAGAAGTGGCTTTCATGAGAAGTTACATTAAAATAATGTTCTCGACATTTCAAATATCGTTCTCGATATTTGAACCTCATTTATATTTTAAAAGTACACATGTCAAATCACAATATTAAATATTCTCGACATACGAGATGTCTAGAATGACATTTCATTTCGAACATGACATTTCTCTACACTTCAAATGTAGTTCTCGACATTTCTATGTCAATGAGAAAAATAGCATTTATTGTGATTTGACATGTGCGCTTTTGAAATAAATAGGGCAGGTTATGTGTCAAAATTTTATTGGCCAATAAAATTTTTAATTGCAAAAATGTCCATTTTTTGTCTTTGTGTAGAATTATAAATTGTTAATAAGGGTATTTTGTTCTAAATTATTCTAAAATGAATATTTTTACAAATAAATACATGAAAGTGGACATTTTAAATAATTTCCTCTTTCCCCTTCAAAGATAGCGAAAGCAACAGAAATTTCTAGTTCCCTCCAAACTCCTAATCCTGATTCTAATATGTAAAATTAAATATTTGTGACCAATTTAATCGTTAAAGTTAAATACTATTAAATAATCCGTATTCCCGCAATAGTTATTAAAAATCAGACCTTATACTTTTAGTTATAATTTATTTTATGGTGACAGTGTTTTTAGACAACTTGTTCAATGATTAATTATGACAAAAAGTAAACAATGGAATGACTTATTTTAAGTAAAAAATTTGGTAATAGTATAATGTTCAAATGCTGAGCTATTTTGATGTTGATTTTAAGCAGGACATCCAATCCCTTAAGACAAAACATCATCGTATTTTAAATTCTTAATTATATTAATTCTCTAATTCTAATTAAATTAGTATATATTTTAGTATAATCCTAACAAACTGGAACGACAAAAATTCCTATTCATATACCACCAACTTCATAGGGAATCAGGATTGGAGTGGGTATAGGAACATGGTCCCGCTCTAAATTGTCCTAACTTTAATTTTTCTATTTTTTATGTATTTAAATTTAAATCGTATTTAAAACATTAAAATAAATAATAAATATGTAAATGGGACAAGAAATATAGATATTTTAACCCTGTCCCTATTCTACCATGCCCTATTGTCACGTTTAAGTTTGATTCTAGCTCTATTTCAAGACTCTATTAGAGGTAAATATGGTTTTATTCGATTCCGAATTTTCAAAATAAATTAGGGTCTTCAGTCTCCACATCGAAAAATAAGAAATTGAAAGTACACGACTTTTTTGTTCTGACTTTTAATTTAATTTTGAATTTTTTGGTGCGAATTGTGCTAATTTGTAAAATTAGCCCAAATTTTGTGATTACTTTTCTATTTATTTTAATAACATGTATGGAGCCAAACGGAGCACGTATACGTGTGAACGACGCGAAAAAGAAAAAGGAGAACATTAATGGCTCACTGATCCCTAAATTCAACGCTGGAATTCATGATTCTCATAAGAATGGATCATAAAGAAAGGACGGAATTTTCACTTAAAGTCAATTTCCAACCTATGATCGAGAAACCAACCCACCCCCACCCCACCCCCCCT